GATAGTGATATATAAAATTATAAGATTTGTAAGAATGAGGACCAAACATTGTATGAAGGTCTTTGCAAGCTCCGACGTTTGTATAGTTTGGCCCTTACTCTATGAAGGTTGCTGCTGATGTGATGTTTTGAACCACAACAAGTTTAGTGCTGCTGATGTGATGTTTTGAACCACAACAAGTTTAGTGCTGCTGATGTGATGTCTTGAACCACAACAAGTTTAGTGCTTCTGATGTGATGTTTTGAACCACAACAAGTTTAGTGCTGCTGATGTGATGTCTTGAACCACAACAAGCTTATTGATGCAGATGTGATGTTTTGAACCACAACAAGTCTAGTGCTGCTGATGTGAGGTGTTGAACCACAACAAGCTTATTGCTGCTGATGTGATGTTTTGAACCACAACAAGTTTAGTGCTGCTGATGTGATGTTTTGAACCACAACAAGTTTAGTGCTGCTGATGTGATGTTTTGAACCACAACAGGGTTTGTGATGCTGATAAAGGTAAATACAAACAACTTTACGGATAACAACTTCTTGTTTAAGGCCTATGGCACGTTTGGATTGTAATACCTTTTTCAAGCTAGACTGACTACAATCAAGTAATTATAGGTTTATACATGATATATTGTGATAAGCAGCGGATTAACATTAACAGCAACAGATAATGAATAACAAATAGCACACAGATCATTGGATTAAGCTTGGTGTACAATAAACATTACAAATGGCATACAGGTAATGAAATCATATATATGTTATAAACCCGAAGTTTTTATTCATAAACTTTTACGTTTTCATATTTACACATCATCTTCTAGAATGCAAATCAAACAGTTACTGATGAGGGTTGCCGGGAACGACTTGTCCAGTGTAAATAAAAGCGACAAAAACATTTCCATAATCATATGAAGTACCTATTAACAGCCGAGTCCGTTGTACGATTCCGACTGTACCACATTTACATGTAAGCATGTATTTTCATGTTATATTAATAATGATTCATTAACACATGCTCCTGGTATAGTCGGAATCGTACAACAAATCTGCTTTGAGCAGAGACTTCTTATGAATATGAAAATATTTTTGTTGCTTGTATTTTATGAATTAATATCAAATAATGATGTTATCAGGTGTTCGCAAAAAAGGTGAAAATCCCAATCTGATTTATCTGTAATAATTTTGCAAAAACATCATATTCTTCTTCAAAATCAATCCGAAAGAAGCATTCGCTCGAAATTCATCCTGCAGTATCCTTCAGTAGTCACGAAAAAGACACGTGTTTCTATGGCTTCTTTCGCCATTATACAGAGGCCTCATGTGACGCTGGTCTTGAATTAATCACATCAGCCATTAGTACAAATATGACGATGATTTACAAGCGCTAACGAACAATGACATTCTTTATCTTAATGTACTAAGTAACAGTAACTTTGACTATCAGGAGAGAAGAAATCCTTCTTTCTCCAATGATGGATTCTTCGCTCAGGTAGGCTAAGGATTATCAAGGGACATATGAAAATAGCAGCGCATTGAGTGCTGAGTATTCATGTCATACATTAACTTAATGAGTTACTGACAAGCTCATCATAAAGTGTCCGGCATCCCCACGAGCCCTCATGCCCGGGGTTGTCTGCTTTTATTTTTATACTTTCATGACATGAGAAGAGCTGCTTTGATAATATAAATATTTACCGTTTGAATGGGCATCATCTATTCAGCTATATGTGAACGTTTTATTAATATTGTAAAATGAAGGATACAATAGCATAGAAATGGCATCACAGTATTGACTATAAAGTACCAATTGAACTTATGCCTTCAGTGTACGTCCAATGTTATGTTTATCGTATGTTGCAGTACTGAATATCAATGATAGCAAATATACAAAGTCATGTTCCAATTGAACTTATGCCTTCAGTGTACGTCCAATGTTATGTTGATCGTATGTTGCAGTACTGAATATCAATGATAGCAAATATATATACAAAGTCATGTTCCAATTGAACTTATGCCTTCTGTGCACGTCCAATATTATGTCGATCGTATGTTGCAGTACTGAATATCAATGATAGCAAATATACAAAGTCATGTACCAATTGAACTTATGCCTTCTATGTGCGTCCAATGTTATGTTGATCGTATGTTGCAGTACTGAATATCAATGATAGCAAATATATATACAAAGTCATGTTCCAACTGAACCTACGCTTTCTGTGCGCGTGTAATGTTATGTTGATCGCTTGTTTCAGTAATTGATATAAATCATAGCAAACATACAAAGTCATTTACAAATAAAAAATGTCCGTGTTTCTTCAATGTAATTCTTGTTAGGTGACTCCAATGGAGATTCCGGGGCGGACTTGACCACTTCCTGGGGGAATTCTGTTTTTCCAGCTGTTATTGCTGGAGCTGAATAGAAGCAGGATATTCAATCAGGATGTTCAATGTAGTTGTTTAATATACATAGTTTTCACATGTATAGTAATCCAGTAATAATATTGACAAACAAAGTGTGGACAAGCCAGAATAACCCATGCCAAGAATAATCACTGACTGGTTATTCCAACCTACTATTACATGATCCTGGTACGCAAAGCGGGGTGCGACTCTGTCCAACAAATTACGGCACTTGAAACTTCTCAGGTACATTAGGTAGCAGGCTGCATGTAGATGTAAGAGTTTGACTTCGGGTTCAAGATTATTGCACTTACAAAGCGACGTGCTTGCACGTGTGTGTGTGTGTGTGTGTGTGTGTGTGTGTGTGTGTGTGTGTGTGTGTGTGTGTGTGTGTGTGTGTGTGTGTGTGTGTGTCTGTGTGTGTGTCTGTGTGTGTGTGTTTATGTGTGTGCGTGCGTGCGTGCGTGTAGTCTGTTAGTCCGGCCTAAAAGTCCTAGTCCGCTGAGATACCATGCCGCTGTTTAAAATGAATATCCCACTCAGACACAGTATACTGACTCCGAACCAACCATTCTTTATTGTATTCCCTTAATGCCGAGCGTCAGGCAGGGAAACATCAAGTATCATCTTTTAACGTCTTTTGGTATGACGTGGCTGGGATCGAACCACCGACCTAGCAGACACTCTACCCATTAGACCGGCTAGATGAGATGCCAACAATACTTACCAAATATATATCGCGTACTTGTGTCTATTATGATCAATATGTTTTCGCAACAAGACTTCAATGCAAAATGCCAACAACACCAGAAATATACCAATCTTAATACATTTAAACGCATTTGCATCATTACCATTGTACGTTTTGTTTAAATTGTGAAAAATATAAATATCAAGTTTCATTTTCTCCATCTCTAAATTTCAAATGAAAAAGATATTGAAGATATAATTTCCCTCAAACGGTTGTAATTCTAGGGATATTGTAACATTACAGTCTATTTGATTATTATTTATATTTAACAGTTTTGTTTTTCAGAACAAACTAGTTCATATAATCACCATTTATGGATCATATTTCTCCTGTGGTTTTTTAAATAATTTCTTTTAATTCTCGTAAAAAGGCGCATAATCATGCTAAAGAGTTTAAAGATGAGTAAGTGAATATTAGAAATATTCCCGAAATGGGCTACACACATTGCACCCCTGAGGGAAATCGAACCTGGGCCTTTAACAAACGCTTTAACCACTAGACTACCCCGCCGACCAAGTTTAAACACGATTAGGTCGTTGGAACAATGTTGTCGCTAACCATCGTTCCACATTCCAGCATTCCTTAATTTCATTATTTTCTGTATGCCGAGAAACAATTGCGTTGAATGTGCCACCGCAGGTGGATAGGATACGTTCACCTTCGAAAACCTGGTGTTATCATTATTTTATAGTGATTCATAAACATGTGCTTTTGATATTAAGTGCCGAGCAAAATAAAAATATGCAATTAAAAATTGCATTTGTCCAAAAAGTGAAAAGACTGAAAACAGTCGCCGAAACACAGCAAGCTTAAGTTTCAATATCGCCTATGGTGCCCATAGCAAATACAACGCCACAGAATAACCATTTCGTTTGTTTCAATAATAGCCACCATCAAACATGGGTGTATACTTTCTTCTGTCTGTTAGTCGGGATCGTGTAATGGCTTTCCTATAAATATCGTGGATCGTTGCTTACAATATAAATCACTCGACTGTCTGGTCCAGACTTAAATATTTACAGGCCGCCGTCACATAAGTGGAATTTTGATGAGTGTGGCGTTAAAAACAAACAAGCAAGTAAATGGACCTACCCTGATTGAAAAAATATGTGACCTTACACTTCTATACTGACTTGAAGCCAAAGCGTAGCTCTCTTCTGGTCTGGTTTCGCGTTTAGCCTCTGAACATTAACATTGTTGGCATATATTGAACTCGCAATATCGCCTTCAGTTGAAGAGGTAAACGTTCGTTTGAACGTGACGTAACGTCAACCTTCTGCGATTGTAAAGAAGGGTATTGATCTGGGCTGAGGTGGACAAGATGACGGATCGGTCATGTGTTGGGCAAGTAAACGACAGCCCCAGCATCAGACGTCGCTTGTTCTTGTGGTTATTGGGAGAGGTTAAAAACGCAGGTTCTGATATAGTGTTTGCTTCCGACTCACTTTAAGTGGCTAACTGTTATCAGCTCAATCGAAAGTTGGCAGTGACACAATTATCAGTAAAATGATTTGATTATTTTCGCACTGAATCGAACGGTGTCAAATAACGTGAATCAGTATCACTTTTTGTACCTTCAGTTTTGACATCAGGGGGATCAATTACTGCGGAGCTGATGTTTCCTTCAAGAACGCGGGTGACTCGCTTAAACTAGCAGATCTCCCTAACGTTTCCCAAGGCAGTTTCCAGGCCTGAGCAGATTTCATCCACGGGCTTGACAAGGATATGTGTTCGTGACTGACACTAGCACGAGAGGAGGTGGTCCCGCAGTGAATAGCCTTGTGTCGGCGTCGTTCATTGGCTGTGACTGGAATAACCTCGAACCGAGTATTGCAAGTGATGTCCCATCTTGAATAGTGTCGGCATCAGTGCTGGGCATAGATCGATGTGGGTGAATCTAAAGCAGACGGACAGATTAGATTTATCGTTAATAGACCAAGGGATCTACTGCTTTGTCCGAACTCTTCACGGAGGTACTCCAACTTGAAATAGCGAAAAGAGGAGTAACTTTTCTCTCTCCAGGTGAGTTGCACAGCATCGGTGTTTATTGATCTATAGTTATTTGTATAGTGATTGTAATCGTGTGTGAGTTGGTTTGTAAACTTTAAGCACACTGATGGTAAGCAGGTCGATATATAAAGATTTCTCCGATATGTCTAATACAGAGTGCCTATTGAACGTTAGAAAGGTTGCCAGGTACGAGTGATGATATTTGTTGCAGTTGACGCAACATACTAACCCTTACCAAATATGCCTGAACGTTGATCTAACTTCTCCAAGTGTTGAATGTTCTGATTACTTTGTTCTTTATTAACAATAAAAACAGAAATTGCAAAACAACTTTCAACCCCATCATTTGTTTTGTAACTAAATTAACGCACTCGTGATCTGCACGCAGAAAACATTTTAAATAAAGTATAAAAACGATTTAGGTTCAAAAACCCCATTTTCAGATCTTTTCTGGCACAGGAACCGTTTGAATTATAACCCAATTAGGTATGAATTAACATTAACTTCAAACAGTTGAATCCATGCCAGCATGCAATTCGCAGCTTGAACGCAACTTTGTGTAAACAAAAAAGTCGAAAATGAAAATGAACTGATTTCAAAGCGAACTGATCTACTCACTCACAAAGATGTAAATAATTTTTTATTATTTCTCGCCCTTCATGCAGTATCTATGGTCAATTGTATGTATCAGAATAAATAATGAGTGCATATGTCTGGATTAATCAATTTGGAATTCTGAAGCTAAATAGACCTGATTTGAAATCTATGCCATATGTACATTCATATGTACCTTGTATCGATATATGATATAAAGCTGAGTATTAGGTCGTATTTCATTAATATCTGGGTTCGATATGCCTTATAGGCGATATGGGAGATCGCTTCCACTGTCATTGACACGCGAAAGGCTTGATAAGATGACGCACACACGCAAGACAAGAGGATTTTCCTAGCTTTTTCTATGACTTTCAACGACGATATTGAGCCTACATGTATCTGGCAATGGATGTCTAGCGCTTGAATTTGAATCACTAATGGGCAGTACCGAGTGGAGGAATATACTACTCTGTAAAAGTATGTCTGTTCCAAATAATGCGAGTTCATTCTGTAATTGATACGTCGTTATGAATATGAAGAAAACATTGGTAGTTTATTTATTCTCAGTGAAAATGATAAATGGTTATATATAACGTGACTTTTATGTAGCGCGGTGTTTACGGCTGCTTCGGGATGAAGAGTCATTCAAAGTTCCTTCATTGGATTAAAACATCTGAGATGGCTTTATGGAAGCTTAAATAGAACGAAGATCGGCCGCTAGCATTTCACATCGAACAGGACCACTGACGTGAATATTAGCTAACTGAACAGCTTTTGCAGATCAATACCGTTAAACGCTTCACAGGTGTCCAGATCGACCACATTTTAGTTAAGTTTGCCAATGCAAAAAATATATTTGAAAAGACTTTAGAACTCGGAGATAATGGTTATTTTTAGATTTGGCATTGAATTATGAAGCCTGGAAGCAGGTTACTTCAACTAATTGATGATTCTCAGCATCAGTAGACATCTGGACAGTGAACACTCAAAGAATCGTAACAGAAATTGGGATATGGCCAAAGACATATCATATGGAAATAATGTTCCGGATAATATATGGTATTTTAATGTTGTAGCATTTCACACATAACTGATCAAACTACGTCTGTGTGACTGTGCAACGGCAAAGGTAGAACTTGTTTATCGGTCTTCTTTTCCTATATTGGAGGTGGTAAAAGAGTGAGTATAGTCCTTTCTGCTTCCATATCGATGTTGACAATTAGAATTAATACACGTTTGAATATGGCTTAGCTATACCATTAAGAATATTAAACTAATTGACCCGTTGTATAAAGACTATGAGTACAAAAGTAAGACGAATGAAGGACATATACTTTCTTTAAACACTATTTTCAAAAATAAATACTTTTTTTCCGCTAAATGCATTACATCCCATTCTTATGCAACGCTCAACCTCACCATAGCTATACCACCGAAGTATGTTATGTATACGCAACACTCTACCTCATATTGCTATACTTCTAGGACATTAACGTTCCAGCGCAAAATAGCTGTATTTTCTGATATAATAAGAACTTTTTATATGCAACACTCTACCAAGCTAGCAATAGATATACGATTTGCTACTCATATCCTATTTATATGCAAAAACCTCCTCAAAATGAGCTATACCTTCTAGTGTAATTATTACTTTCATATGCAACACTCCACCTAGCAAGAGCTATATCAACTGGGACGAGTACCAGATTTACAATTTAGAATTATCATTCATCAAATAGTCCAATTGTCATCAGCCAGCATTAATGGCAATCCTGCAGTATAGAAATTCCGAGTGACAATCCTTGCACGTAAATAAGCATGACCCGTGTGATATTGACAAGATATCTGCAATCTACATGCGTCAATAGCAGTCATTCAACAGGCAGGTGTTCTGGGACGGATATTAATCGCCCATTAAGTCTCGTTGTAGGACGCGGCATATCACCGAGCCGCGCCTATCTCTCAACCAAACTGATACACGATACATATGCACTTACAATCAGTTCAGTCTAAGACGGCTGTAATTAAACCACCCACCCTTTCCGAGTGCGATTTACGTGAAGTAAAGTCCATGTTTTAATCACATGTCGTGCGGGAATACCTGGTAACGCTCTTGATAGACTCCATGTCCCTGTTTCGTCGTCTTTAATTAAGTACATACTCCAATCCAATTCCGTTTATTTCCGATTTCTTTACGTTTCGTCGGAGTTTCTCTTTTTGAGTACACCGGATATGAGTTTGTCTATGGTGGTCGATGTTACTGATGTCAACCCGTTTCTACATTTAAACATAATCAGGGTCTTCGAGGACAGATCGTGCATGTCTCTGTGCGGGGTAGATAAACGGCGGTTGCATGCTGAAATGAAAATGTAGGATGTGTCTTCTGACAATATGGCTGTTATAACAGGCATGTTCTGTTAAATAAAACATGGACGTTACCAAATCAGCCATATTTCACATGAATAGACAAACGCTAAACCCGTCTTTATCGAGCTTGCAACGGAAATATATTTCATGGCCATCGTAGTATCCGACAGATTCCTATCTCTTCTGTATGGTTGCGTCAATGAAAGGGTCCACATTTGATTGATATCGTGTATATTGATTTGAAATGAGCATCGGCAAAATGACAGAAGGTAGAGTCACGTCTCTGTAGGATGTCAGTGAAATCCAAACCACACGCACTGCGCGTTGGAGCTATTTGCCATAGAAACGGCAGCCGAACTTTAATGGCACAAACACTGCCTTTACTATCTTTGCACAATTGGACGTAAAGTAAATTGATCATAACTAGCCTAGATATCATGATTACGAAATCATGGAAATGCTAAAAGACGTCATTTACATGCTAAACGTTCAATGAGCAATGGTTTACTGTAGATAGTTGTACCGGATCAATGGAGAATGGCTTATTTCTTATGGTAAAGTTACCAATTTTTGCTGTCTGTTTCAATAGATAGCTGTATTTGGTTACCTCTGGTTCTAAATTTAGAATTTAAACATTAAATGCAGATATGCACACGTGAACTAACCTATTTTGACATGGGATTCTGTAACGTCTGCATCCATCTGATGCTGATGTTGTGGCGTGTTTGGAACTGATTAAACAGTTGTTAGGTCTACATGTTCATGAAAAAGATGAGAGTTTGAATGCTCCTCTGCAGAATGACTGTAATATCTAATAACCATTCAGTAAATCATGAAGCCAAGTAATAAAAGCTAACAGCACTTGTATTCATGGTTACACAACCATAGCATTCCAATATACCGCAAGCATCCTTAAGTTCAATATTTATAGCATTTTTTATACTAGGTAGGTAGGTATTGTAATATTAATGTTTTAGTATTTCATTTTGTGTGTTCACTCTTATGATGGGATATAATGATTGATATATGTCCCAATCCAATGCTAACACTTTTTTCGTGTTTTCAAATGATAAAGTAGCGGTTGCTAGGTCTAAATTCCCGTAAGGAAATAAAGATTGCTTGAATGCTCCACTGCAGAATGGTTATAATAACCAATAAACCTTATTTAAATCATAAATCGAAGTAATAAAAGCTAACGGCACATGTATTTATTTCAAAGTAGGACAAACATCCTTGAGTACAAAATACAATAATAAGTTTTATAATTTGTAAAATATATCTTCACGTATACCATTTGTGTGTTCACCTTATGGCGATTTCCTTTAGCGCTTTAAAATAAACTTTACATTCTTTACTCCATATTTTCAAGTTGTAGTTAAACTTGGCCATAGAACTAAAATATCGTATTACCTCATGTATGCACACATTCCTCTCTTTATCATAGAGCATAGGAACTATTGAAAATTGTTCTAACGGCCCTTTAGGAGTGACCGTAAATATGCACCGGATTACACCGGCAAATGTGGATTTGAATTGAAGGCCTATTTCCACATTCATATTTCATGATAACATATTTTTTTACAGAAACACGTTTTTGAAAACACACGTAATTGCATTACATTTGCCGGATCCAAATTTAAACATTGCTTGACACAGATTTGCATTGTGAACCTCGGATACCGGGCGATGGAGTACAGTTAGGTCAATGCTTTACACCTACCATACAGTGACAAGAGAAGCAATAGCAATGCCCATGTGTTTTTCATATTGTGCTTGTATATACTGATTGTGCTACCTTTTAGTCAATTGTAATTCCAGATCATACTGTTTCATGTTGCATATCTCCATATTGAGTTTTCATTCTGGGTTGAAGTATCTCTGTCAGGGTATAATTACGTCTCTTGAACACGTAACGTACATTTACACTGTTGATCCGTGCGTTCAGACAGTGATAGGATTCACAAGAATGTAACTAATGAAGGCCATGGTGAATTACGAAAGCATTGGTGCACAATGGTGTACATTTCGGTTTTGTCGGTCTAGACATA